CTGCTGAGTATACTATATCATCTTCTGGCAGAACATGTGATAAAAAGTAGCCTATGTTGTTGTACACTCTACAACAGATTTATCATCATGCAAAAACTGAGCTAAAACGTAAAAAGCTCTTGTAATTGTTACAGGCGCTTTTTTCTGCTATATTATTGTTCAGTTGAACGGTTTTCAGCCATTTCATGACGCAGTATCTTGAAACGGTTCTAGGGTATTTCAATGCCGTCGGTTTCTCCAGCCATAAACGCATCGCTAGGAGTAGACCCGGAAATGGAGCGTGCAATATGCATGACTACGTGCGCACTTTGTGTCTCAGCATCAAACATCAGCTGGACGCTCTGTACCTGTAGCGATTAACTCTGAATATTTCGACTTGTAGTGCTCAATCTAACTCAATAATCAGGCGGAGAAGTGTTTGTTGACGATTCAGACAAGGAATCTGACTAATTCCCGAAATTTTGAATACAATAATTTTAGCCAGCAACACGAGCTAACAAAATGTAATTAGGTAGGTAGTATTTTAGCAACGTTTTCAATTAAAATACTTGTTAATGACACGCATATCCCATATAAATTTACGAAGACTGCTGGCGTGGGGAATTTGGCTGCGGCTGATCGAGTCCAACAGAATATGAGATCATCTGATAGTAATAGATATACTGCACTAGATCAATGCGTTATTTCAGCTAATCCCGACTTTTCTCGACTCATTTGTAAGAACCCGTACCAGATACCTTGTGACAATAGAATACATTGTGCATATTTAGTAGTACAGAACTATTTTGAATATGAGTGTTCAGACGAGAATGATACAACCGCTTCTTTCTAATGTATTACTCACTGTATTTGCTCAGACATATCATTTGCTATTTTATTGTTCCTATTTTGTTAACAAGATCTACTATGCAAATTTTCCCACTTTAATTGTACTGGAATCTAAAATAAAAATTGTAAACTTCTATAGTTCTCAAATAAGATTTTAAATCTCCTAAACCTGAAGTTACATATCGTCACGCTAATAACCGAATTGCGTAAGTCATTTTTGGCGATTTTGAGTTTTTTATAAAATAGGTATTTATGTAATGGTGCGCACCTGTCTGTTAACTCAGATTTTATTTTAGGAATTCCGAAACCCATAAAAATGGAGATTTAGTATGACATGCACATTTGTGCAATTGTTTTGTCATAATGAATTATCCTTGTTACCGCAGTACTATTGTGACGTCACAAAGGTAAAATAACCTCGGCGAAATATTTTCGAGTTTTTGCATCTCGGATTCTAGCTTAGGGCGTATTAATTTGAATTTTTACTACAGTATAGGAAGACATACACTTGTGATATTCACTGTCCGAGTCAAATTTACCTTGGTTGGCTTTTATATTGGGTGCATTGCTGTTTTATTCTTTATATTTAATCTTAGTCCTATTTCGGTGGGTGTGCAGAACGTGTTATATTGATGAAATATATATTTTTAAACATAAAAAATGATGTAATTGAAACTGATTAGCTATTTTGGGGATTAGACATTGTAGATACTGAGAATTACATTCGTTTTTGGAATGTTTAGTTTTCAGGACTGGTGCATATAGTAGAGTTGCAAAATTGCGTATGTCACCAAGTCATAGACACATTTCTGCCTAAGTCACAGTGCGGCATTATGACGTCACTTAACTGCGTCATATAAATTAACTTAAATCCGGCTACGATCAAAAAATTGAACCATGGCAAATTATTGACTCTCAATTGCATAACAAAATCATTAGGAAGTTTTTTACGTTTTTCTCAAAACTGCTAAAAATGACTTACGCAATTCGGTTATTAGCGTGACGATATTATGCTGCGGGAGTTTTAACCTTCAAGTAATAGACTTTTGCATATTTACCAAACATCGAAGAGCGGAAATCAAAACCAAACATTCGTATTTATGAGTAGATTCCAAGCCAGAGCAGAATGATTGCGTTTTTATTTCCATTCGTTAGGGTTTGGTCATGTGGGTTTGCACTTCCAATATGACGAATATTATCAAAAATGTGCCCTGCCTCTCACGAAGTTCACCAGTGTGACGCGGAAAAGAATTGAGAAAAGTAAGTCAGACAATATCGCACTTATACCCCGTGAAGTCGCTTTATTCGTTACTCGAATCACGCGTTTGGACTCGGTCTGAACAAACCTGATATTACCGTAGCCTGATTTAGCGTAAAGCTAAGCCTGATGAGACTACCGGATAAATGCAGAATATTAGCAACGAGAGCAACCAAACACGAATGTAGAACACGATGCGATGTCAACTTCCCGCGACTGTATTGTATCGACTTGTGAGAAGTGAGCGTGAAATTGTCAACCGTATTAGAGTGATTTTATAAATTCGTTCAAATAATATAGCTATCCGTAGCAAGGTATTGTTTTATTTTTTTCTCAAAGCTTATAGTCGAACATGAGGCAAAGATTGTAGTCAGTTGTAGGTAATGTAGATAAGTGAAATATTTTGTATATTATATCAATTCTAGCTTCGTTCAGTGGTAGGTTGTCGCAGATGGAATAAATCAGACGAGGCTTTTTCAAACGATCATTACCTTGAAATTCGGTTTTATCATCAGTATCTGTCCAGTACCTGTTATAGTTATGCCAGTTATTCCCTACTAATAACATTTCAAACGTAAAAAGCTTTCTGAGTTATGTTATAAATGAGTACTACGCCTACAGTATGTTGCATTCCAGTTTGTGTTTTGTCGCTAAGAGTTAAGTGTGACATTTTTATTGTGGCTCTCTTACGATAAATTATTTTTGCGCCTTGGGATACGCGACTTGCGTAAACATAGCACGCTACGTAAACTTCAGAACGCATTAGTGATACAATAATTACGTGTTGTCGTGAGTCTTCGTTCCAAATCACAATTTACGATAAAAATTTGTTGATTTTTTAGCAAAATTGTTTATACGTTTGAGGCTTAACCAAGGCAATATTTACTGCAAATAGCTATTAAGATAGGTTATATATTTTGTTTATATATGGTTATAATGTACCGTGAAATATAAATTTTACTGCAAGGTCATTTATTTTCACAAGTGAGTTCAAGTTATAAGTTACATCATATAATTCAGAATAAATGTCAATCTGTCATGTAATGAAATGGAAGGCATCTTTGGATTCAGTTTATAAGGGCAATAGAGAAAGAATAACCACATTGCGCCCATCATGTAAAGAAGTATGTGGATACAAATTTATTAGGAGAACCTTATTTTACAGAATAGTATTCATAAACCTTCGTGGCAGGCTTTAGATTTTTATCTGTTTTCGAAGATATTTTTAGTGTACCACAACAATTAAGAAGCATACTGACATAATTCGATAAATCCCTCAAGCATATTGTAGAATACCATACAAATATTTCGAAATATTATTCAGTACAGACTCGCCGGAAGTCGTTCTATTGATGAGCATATGCAGTCGCGTAGTTCCACGCATACTGCGAAAACAAACGTAAGATCGGCCAGATGAGGTGATACCTAATGCTATGAATGTGAATGAGTGAACGGTCACAATTCAACGTAGTTAGCTTTAAAAAATGAAACTCATCTTCATACCAATGGCTTACGCTTTAAATCGTTTAAAATTTGAGTATTTGTCCGATATGTTAGCCGCCCTTTTCTGTTAATTTTTCCTAAATACGTACCAGATCTCGAAGAACATATATTTTGAATAGTTGCGGATCAAGATAGAGGAGAATACAACTTGAATATTATAGCATCTAAATCACTTGTGCAAATGCCAACATTTACGACGACGATTCGTCCGTTTTTATATTCGAAATATTTCGAATACTGGTTAGGACCACACATATGCAACAAGATACATGCGCTTCTATGGCCCATGCTTACACTGCATTGAACGTATCAATATAGTTTTTGCATTGACTTCGAGATCAAGAAGTCGCAATTTTAGATTTGTTTTTGTAGACTACTGTATCAAATATATTACTTCCAACGCGTGTCTTTTTGCATTATTCAATAAAGGGGTTCACTTAAATATTCTCAATTCACTGAATAATGCACAATAGGGTTTCTGATCAATAGTAGTATATGGCAAACAAGCTAAAGGGATAATCCAGATAATTACAGAGTTGCACATATTATGTTCTTATTTCAACAATATCCTGATATAAACCCATAAATTGTTAATGTAACAGTTACGATAAATCAAACATAACATGCCACAAAGTCAAGCTTTGAGAATTTGATATACTGATATCCATGCTTGGCGCATGGTAATGGTAACTCGAGTGGTTCAGATTGTTGAACTGTGTTGGATAAAAATATTTTCCAAGGATCAGATGCTTTTGGGGTTGCTTTTTTTCTAGTATATCTGGCATCATGTGACCTGCTATACATGGGTAATTCAGGTCTTAATTCCTTCCTAATGATAATTCTTGAGGACTGAAACGCAAAATGCATAACGACCATCAGATTGAGATCAGCTTGTTTTCTCTTCTCTATGGTTAATCAGAGAAAGGGTGGTGTTTTAGTTTACTGAACTAGGATTAGCTTGCAACAAAGAAGGGTAAATTAAGCTAATAGCCATGCAGCTGAGCAGTTGCAGACAGTTTCGTCATAGTGATGTGAGGTTGCGTGCTCAGCATGAGTTCAATTGTTGGCTCGTTCAACTATTATATCAATATGTGTGTATGGCCTAAGCTTATGAAGCATTTTAAAAGCGTGAAAGTTTCATATGATTGTCATATTTAACCCAAAATGCGAAATTTTTATCAAAATCACGGCTCTCTTCCGTAACTGTGATGCCTTCATATAAATTCATATACCAGTAATACATTATATTGTAGCTATAGCATCACGAATAGTATAGCTTTGAGTATTCTTTTATCAGTAATCTGAGGTAGCGATCTTGTTTTGGACAAATTTTCACAGGAAAAATATGGTTTTCAAATCTTAACTGTGGCTTTGTATTTGTAAATTTACATATTTATATTTTGTATGTTTTCAGAAATAAATTTTATTGTAAATAGGACCAGATTGGGCTTATTTGCTCGTTGATCAAAAATCGGAATTTACGTTCACGTTCTAACAATCTGGAAGGCTTTGTTAAGAGCGCAAAAATGTCAAGTTTGGTGTCCTGTCTTCTAGGTGAGTTTGAAATATCAAAGTTCACAATGTTACGCTCGCTGACATACCTGAAGCGGAAGCAATGATTTTTTATATTTTAATTTTATGGTGGATAGGATGTATCATACATATCATAGGAGCTATATCGCTGCCATGTCAGTTTTTTTTAATTGATTCTTAGGTATTACTATTATTTATAAAGAAGTGAGACAGAGACTGATATACCAATCGAGTTCTAATAATAATTTAAAATACACATTTGACATAGTCAATTTTTTTTTTTTTTTGCTATGCGAAACGTAGATCGGGTGCGATTGCGCTCTTTACCTGAAAACATATGCCTATGATATGAATAATGTACAGCGTTTATATATATTGGTAAGTGGAAACTGAAATAATGTGAGACAAATGGATGAGGTACTCATACTTTTTATATCACTTTTTTCCTATTAGATCAGCTCAACCTCAATGGTCTTGAAAAAAGCTGATAATGAACTATATAACAAATAACCCATCAAGAATTATTTTGTAGTCTATGTCCGACGTTAAAGCTGTTACTTTTAAGTGGCGTTCAACAGAATCACGTCAAAGGAGAGGGCGAAAGGTGTATGTCAACTTTGCAAATATATATAGCCTAGGTTTGTTAAAAAGACCAATGGTCGACTGTCAAGAATCGAAATCTTTCAACGCGACTAAGCTTAGGTAGATTTATTGGGACTTGGTCGTAATAAAATATTAGTAAAGGAAATTGCATCAATCATTATAACACCGTTAAATTATATAACATCATGAATTGTTTTAAACTGTGTACAGGCAGGGATGATAGCTCGGCCAAACAAATAAGCAGGCAAATAGAACAACAGCTCAAGGATGACAAGAAGACGGCACGAACCCAAGTGAAACTATTAGTGCTAGGTACTTCTGAAAGCGGAAAATCAACATTTTTGAAACAGGTGGGCTGAAGTGATGATTTCCTTGACGTACTACAATAATTAGTATTTCAAAATTTAACGAGATTGAAACGAATATTATGGCTTCAATATCTCAGTGATAAAAAGCCTGAGGAACGAACACCCCTGTGATATATTGATGATGCCAACAGGCTAGGACTAAACCTTTTTGATACTTTTTTGTAGAAAGATATGAATGCGATCGCTGCATGAAAAGTTGTGTATGTGCGTGGGAGAATGAATTATTTGACTTTTCGATGATGGGCCATTAAATAAAAAGCATTTGCTACTTATTTTTTATTTTTGTTTGCCAAAGTGGTTTTCCGTACAAAACAAAGTGTTTTAAATCAAAACAAAAAATACTGACCAATTCGCGAGATACGTGTAATCGCACATGTACGTGTTTTGGAGGCTTTTCGTATCTTTGAGTGTTTGTGTGCACTGCGCATGTGATTCAGGTTTTTCATTGTGTTGACGCTCGCTATATCAGCAAGCTGTTTGCCCTTTACCCTTTTCGCAAAGGCTTCTATCACACTTCCTCTGCCCGGTGTTCACTGCATATTATGCGTTCCATTGCCGACAATACCGACGCGCTTTTGTAATATGAGTCGTATCAGCTTGCGAGGCTCGCAAACCTTAACCGCAAGTAGTCTTCGGGGTAGCAATTTGTCATTATTTTCGGCAAGTTTTGCTATACCGGTCGTCAGTGTCACAGCACACCGTTCAAGAAGTAGTTTGGTTGCAACAATCACAACTTATACCTATTTTGGATTTGCAAAATATTTGCAGCCCAAACATGGGGTATCTGTGGGTCTTGTTTTGAAAGCAATATCGATTAGCAACTCAGGAGTGGCCAAGCGTCAGTCTTCCAGTCTACAAAAGCTATGTATATTGACATGTTAATTGCGTCTACCATTTCTATGAACCCCGCGTTCGCGACGGTTACGTCGTCTGTATGGTGCTGTAATATCCGGTATTGGCGTGGCGTCGTTTTCAATCCGGGCTGAAAAGGTCGCAATATTGGTGTATCAGTTAAAGTAGGCTGACCAACAAGAAAGCGAGACACGCTGATTGTAATATTACCAGGGTTGGCAATTATCCTGTTGTTAATTTTTGTCCGGTTGATATTGTGATATTTGAGGCAAACATTCGCAATTTTAAACAATATTTACGGCACACTTATAATATTATGTAATTTCTCGTTTTTGTTACCACTCAGCGTACATGATATGATGATTCACCACTCCAGTTGTCGCCTATGATAGTCTGTTATGTATAACGATTTCAGCAGACCTAGATCCTAAGGCTGAGTGACTGACTCATTGACTAATCAGCCTGGAATTTGTGCCTGCGCTAATGCTTCATGGTATGGACGTTTTCCAATGTTCAAGTGAACTACAAATGTTCAAAACCGATTAATTCTGGACGTTTCCTATTAATTCTGGAAGTAAAAGTTGACCACTTTTATGACATTCAATTCAATGTTCAAGAGTATCTTCCAGCAAAAAAATATGATCTCCATATAATATTATTTTGATTTTTAAAATTATTATAGCACTAGAAAGCACTAGTTTCAACACAATCACATAAAAATACCTGTGAGATTCAAGCTTGTATCCAGTGTTTTGATTTTACCATTTTACCTTACCAGTCAAAACTAGTCAGTCGCCACGGCTATTTCCGTCCACTTTACTGCTATAATTGGGTTGATTTGGCGGAGGTAATCATATTTGGCAAGAACTTGTGATTGTGACACATTATTATTTTAAGAAACACATGCGACAGTGCAATTTGTGCTTATGTCAATAAAGTCTGCTGTAAAATATTTCTAAAATATCATATCATGAAATTTTCGATATCACAATATATGTACCAATATCTTTTGACTTTTGGGAGACTCTCCGTGTTGTTTCAAGCATGGGCTCACGATGCTTATTAGGGCTTTTCTGATACGATTGTCCTTTGGTGACTATATAATAATAGTGCAGTATAATACAGAAGATAGAATACACCATCTTTTGATTTCTATATTTTTAACCTGATCGAAATTTGTTCTTTTGTTCAAATTTTGTCGTAAATGATACTGGTCTTTGTAGAACGCTTTATTCGGTCAATACGGAATCTGAAGAATGGCACTATTAGTTCACTGAATATCATTCAATTCATCGAAAATTTTTAAATTCTATTGAATCCGATTTCTAAATATCATGGTTTGTTTCAGCCATATGTCAGTTCTATTGGTATAATTCACAAATGTGAATTCTGTAGGAGCGAAATGAAGATATTCTTTAGAACGAATAAAGTTGGAAACGTGCATATCCATTGTGGTGAATGGAGGAAGCGCGTCGGCGAAGCTTGACTTGTAATCTAAGCAGCCTGATGGAAATAACCTTTTCAGGACAAATTTCTGTTGTTAAGATTGGAATTGTTTACTGTAAAAATGCTTTTCTCAATCCAATCTCAACAACAAAAAAATTGTCCCGAAAAGGTAATTTTTAGCGTGAATCTTAGATTACATATCGACAAAGATTCGGGAAGTCCCACCTATTAAACTCATATACACCACGTCTTTGTCTGACTGTATAAGTTAATTTATGAATAGAGAAATCAATAATTTTAATGACATGAAATGTTGTTGTCAGTTATTTTCTCTCGCCAATCTTATTTGCTTTTTGACAACTTGCAATATCCCGCAGTTCGAATTGTATGATATCGAGAGAGTCAAATAAGAAATATATTCAGGTGAATAAAAAATGGAATTATTACAAATTGGTGAATAAGGCAATTGAATTCATATGATTTTTTTCCATTATGCTTGAAACAGAGACTAAGAAGCTAGCACTGGAATATACATATCGCAATTTTTTGAAAAGAGTTGTATTTTCGGTATAATACGATACATATACACACTACATGTGTTAGATGGCGTTATTATCCTCACCCTCACGAATCACTTTACCACATTTTTTCGCAGTTTTCGTTGCTAATATACTGTTGATTGATACATGTGCTATGTGTAGTATACACACAGTGATAATTGCACAATATCCGGAGAAATACGCTCATAAATCGTGATGTCATATTTTAAGCTTGCCGGTTCAGTAATTAATCACCGAGAGTAATAACTTTCGAAGTTCAACTCAGTGTATTTCTGTTGGTAAAAAGATAACGCAGTTGCGCTCGTAATGGAAATTGACCGTCCGACACCATATACGAACTTCTTCAAAGGGTTGATTGTCTCTCATAATAATATGATTAAGTTTATATAGACTGTGACTTAAGGAATTTGTGGTCACCAACACAAAAGTATGAAAATACAATGAAAACAAAAAAAAATTGAAACTAATAAAATCATGTCTGTCTTTGTATCCATTTCTTCGACCAGAGGTTTAAAGGGGCGAAGTTCTTTAACAGTCGTGAAGAGCTCGTAGAACGCAATTCATTCTATTTTTAATTCTTCTTAATAATTTGAAATACAGCCTTGGACAACTTGCGTAAATTTAACTGTTATTCCTAATTGATGTTTTGTTCATTGGAAAGATATTGATGGAGACACTACGTCTTCAGCGACCTTTCAGTTGTATTTCTACTGCTGTAAATCAGGTCAGCCAAGTTGATAAGAGATTGGTTTGATGATAGGTAACATACATAGTAAAGTGAATAATTATATTATGATTGTATGAAGATATTAGTATAGCCTACAATTGTTCATTCTATAAGATGACACTTCAGCGGTCGAATGCCTACTTAACACATTCAAGTTACCTGGTACCATTTCGGCATGACACGATATCGACCCAAACATGATTATGACTAAAGCCATGGGCTTTGTAAAGAGTCAAGACCTAAAAAAATACATTTTCGTAATTTTTGTACGAGTTGGACATCTACCCATCCGGTATAAGCTAATTAAGGTCAAGCATTCGAACATTGGGTTTAATCGAGATCAACTCGGTTGTTGTTGGCCTTCACTGCATATAATTCGTAACGATGTGTAAACAAACAACTTCAAATGAACTTACATGTAACCAATCTTTATTTATTTTTCGCGCCTGCTGGTATGAGATAGACCCACACGGAATGCTACAACTTTGTTTTAAATTAAGTATGTTTCGTGTCAACGAGCCAACGTTGTCTCATTCCTTTCAATAAAAGCGACAAGCATAACTCAAAATTATTCAAAATAGTCACATGTTTTAAATACCCCTCCGTGCACTCGAGTTTGGCTACGAGCCTGCTCTTAATTTTGCTGAACTTTAGTTTCATGTACAATTGCAGAATATTACTCGAAATTATGCTGGAACGCATTCACATGTTTGACAATGACTTCCGCTATTTTTCCAAATGTTTTCCCTATTTTACCTTCACAATGGTCAAAACGATGATAGATCAACATAGATGTACATGTAAAATCAATAATTTAGAGTGGATCAAAAGATTATTCAGGCCAGTCCACTCGATAATACAGCCGGGTCACACCTTTAATCGATCACGACCTTCTAAAATATTTGCCAAATTTTTGATGTCGATCACAATTCCGCTTTCGGTTTTCTTGCGATATGTAGTAAATTATTTTACGTAGCTAATTGGACGTTTTCCACCGGCCGCCTGGCAAAAAAATGGAAGTTTCGATTGATTTTTTTAGTTGTGTTCTACGAATTTGTTCCCCTTTCCGAGTTTTAGAAAAATCCAGCATGCTTATTTTACGCCTCAATATTCTTCCAAATATAGTCATATTAATCACAAATCTAAGTATGTTATTAATAATGATTCCGGATACACAATAACAATTGAATGTGAATTGAAATTCAAGCTTGAATTGTTTTGCGATTCATTGTATATTTTTTGTTTTGCGAACCAACTAGTGAGATTGAATTTGATTCAGATTACGCTTTCGCTTCAAATTTTATTCCAGTACATTTGGAATAAACTCGCGCGAATGTGCGTGTAACTTAATAGGGAATGAAAACTCATTTTGGGATTAAAATTACGCCGCGAGGGGATTCATTATAGTAAACCAAAAATACAATATATCAGAGAGCGGTAGTATTTCTCCCAGAATAATTTACCAAAAATAGAAAATCAAAAAAAATGCAGCGTCGCTCTGATTTGAATATATTCGGAGTTTATATTATCTACAAAAACTTTGAATCAGCAGCATATTTTGTGTAACATAAATGCTACTCTACGATTGAGTTAACCCTTTAATTCCATGGTTTGCTTCAAGATGTATACGAAGTTAAAAATAGAATAATCTTAATCTTTGGCATGTTCAACGGTCTCAAAAAATGAGATTTCGTAAATTCAAAGAGTAAAAATAAATTATTTGTTCCGGATTAGAGTTTTTAGCAAACTCTCAGTATTATTGAACATATATTTACACTCTGTCCAAAGAATAATGCTTTTCTTCATTTATTATTTAGGCTATTGTGTATTTTTGAAACGAAATCCATCACCGATTCTCGTTTTGAAAAACAGTAAAATTACAGAACAAGATTACGTTAACCTAACTATCGAATACCATCCATTCTTTGAATTATATGACAGATTTTCATTGGGCCTGCTCTGTCTCCTGCTTTTCTCATTTTCGTGTAGTGCACATCGATGAACATGCATGTCGATATAATCGAGAACTGTAACAACAATGAAATGATTGTTGCAGATAAAACTAAATTATTTGCGTGAAATAAATGAATTTACTCAAAAATTCCCAAAAATGTTTATTTGTCAAAATATTATCCACTGTGATCTCTCGTTCTGTGAAAATGGAATCTGCATAAACATCATAGAAAATTAATAACCGTAACAAAAAAGCCGAAGATTTAAATGCTCTGTGGCTCTGTTTACCATTTTTATTTTCACTATATGTTGTTTTCCAATTTCCTCGACGCTTCGTTTTGTGTGTCATGGAGCGCTTATGATGACAACGGAACATCATAAAACATTTGTACAAACCTAATCCTTCCGTGATCCGTTTCGTTGGTTATCTAATCTCAATTTGTTATCTTATCAGATGAGGATTATACATGGGACGGGATATTCAGACGAAGAAAGATTAACATTTGTGTCACTGATTGCGCAAAATATCCATTCATCGATGAGAATTCTCATAAAATCTATGAAGTATCTGAGTAAGTTGAAATACTTTCTGAATCTTGATTTTTAGCTTTCGCTGAACATCCAACCCAGCCATTCAGAATTTGTCGACAACTAGTTAGTTTGCAATGTTCATCATTCACGAATCTTTCCAGATCGTTTGAAATTAAGATAAAATGCAATTAATTTCATATAAACATGTTTTAAATAAGATTGAAAAAATATTGAGATCTGTGCTTTTTCACATGTTCTCGAGGTATATAATTGTGTACGAGTCAATTTTTGTAAATATAGTTCTCCAAGAACAGTGGCAATTTTATAATTGAAATATTGTATGATGTCGAGAAATTGAAATTATGTTTACTGCTGAGTGCTGATTATTACTACTCTACCTATTGTACCACATAAATAACACTGCATATATATTGCAAAAAAAGGTGCATTAAGATTAAATTTATTGTGCATAAATATAATTTACTGAATGGAAATTGTTATAAGTCAAAATCGATTTGCTAAACGTGGTACCAAAATATTTATATTGAATTATCCTCACCCATACCCATCACATTGATATTATATATACTTCAAGAGAACAATAGACGTTAGGGAGAATTTTGCGTTTCCGTCCATTTTCTATTTTGAAAAGGAAAATCTCAATTGCAAGAGAAAACAACCCTAGTTGTCCATTCGAAATTTTCACCGTACAATACGCCCTTGTTAAGTTAATAAAATACTTCATTATGAAAACGACTGAAGACAATTAAAAACAATATTGGCAAGGGAAACAACCTCATGTCATCGGTCGTTTATGTATTCACGCTCTGTTCAAATATCCGGTTAGGACCGCCAGATTTAGATCATTTCAAAAGACCAACATAGATAGTAAATGGGGGCCATGTGTATTAAAATATTAAATTAGACATATTTACCTCGTTGATAATTTGTATATAAAATAGTTTTGGCATTGGTTGCTTATCATTTTTTCACCCAATGGCAGCAGCGAAGGTGTTGAATTCGGATTTTCCGAGAACACTCATTATTTATTTAAACCGCAGGTCATTTTAGATATAGGGTATGAGACAAATTCAGGGAGCAATACCGCATGAAGAGTCATTAATCACAGAGTGACATACATTGACTTTGAATATAGCCAGCCCGACATAAATAAATCATGGTTAAAAAACAAATCCATCTGAAAGCTGAATGATGACGTAAATATGATTTTACTCTATCACAACTTCAGTAATACTATATAATCTGACGTCGTATGGATTGAACTATTTCCAATTTCATTACTGAACTTTAACTCCTTATATAACAATATGAATTTCGCTTAATCATAACATACTCGTACCAGGAAGGTTGTAAACGCAATCGCGCGTACCAGACTCTAAAATCTATTCCACAATCAGGGATGTGCATTGAAAAAAAATCGTACAGAATTATGAAGTATAATTTGCTAAAGGCTCGTGATCAATGACGTTATATATTCATAATTTCTATGCACAGTATATTGAATGAGTCAACTAATAATCTTTAGTTATCGCATCCCATTGCGAAGCAACATAAGAAATTTTCGAGCCAGTTATACAAATTTTCAATTCAATTATTTAAATATAGTATAGGCTCAACGATTTTTTCTGAATTCGGTAATATATATATATATATATACACGTGCTTGGGTTTCACTCATAAAATCAGTATACGGTATCAAAAGGCATTAGTTTTGCGAAAGGGAGTGTAGCAATAAATTTGCCGGAATAGATAAATGTCGAAGAAGGCAAATTGATGTATTCTGGCGCTGGATAAAAATATAGCAATAAAGACTTTCCCATAAAATATGATACGCAAGGAATGCCGAGCTAAAATGTTGTCTTGAATACGCGTAAAATACGATACAACTTGACTTGCTTTCAGATCAATGTTCACCACTTGCTTCTGGTTTTATCTACGATATGTCCTCACGTGTTCCTGGATAACAATATATTTTCTTAGATTCACAACGGGGCGTGGATTAAGAAGCAATTACTTTCTTTTTACATCTTTAATTCATCATACTTGTGCGTGCAATAAACTGATAAGTTATATATCCTCATGAATATTCATTAATATACATTCCTCTCCGATTGTAAGACAAACAGTGAAAACAATATAAATTCTTATTAATTTTAATTAAGTGATCGATTTTAGTATTTGCAAACCAGTAAGAAAAGTGTGGTAAAATTCTCTATAATAACAGTGGATGCGTAATATTCGTGACGTTATCCCATAGAGCAGGGATGGCGAACCCCTGACCCACCGCGTTTTCTAAGGCCCGTCATCAAGTCACGAAGTAATTAAATAAACTTACTAACATTTCGGCGATGAAAAATTAATAAAAAAGGGCGTCATTTAATCCTTCAAGTGATGAACCACTATAGTATACTGATATGCAGCTACTGATAACAATGCTGTTACAACGTTTATGGCATAACGCTACAATTCATCAGTTCATTTCTCGCAACTTCTCTTTGTACACAGATTTCATTTCGAAGGCCCATGAACAGAGTAGGTTTTTCAGTAATGCAGACATTATGACCCACAGTCTTCTTTTCTATAATAAAAATATATATTTTGACTCATTCAATAAAAAAGGTTCTCCCCATCTCTCCCTCAGGTCATAGGCCAACCCCCACCAGAGACACTTTGTGTAAGCATTTTTAATCAGGGTAGATATGGAGGAAAATGATATTGTAACCTTTTTTTTACTTGAATTTTAATGTTGACAACAACTGGTGAAAACACGTCTTCTCATCTACATATGTATCCTAATATAAATGAACCCTTGACAACAATTGTCTTCTTGAGTTTCTTGGAGTTTGAACGCAAAGAATACGTAGGTCGAAAGTGATAATTTAGAAAAAATCGAATTTTCTGGTCGTCATAACACGCCATCCTCTAATTTGTCAAATTACCAGTTCAGTTGTCAAATCTTGTTTACGTTCTTCGATATGCGAATTGAATTTTTTATAATCGGACATAACGCAAAAATGCGCATGCGTGAGTATGCCGGATAATTATTACGTAATTAAGATGATCAATTCCTTCGATGCTAATCATGCCTATCCCATGTGTATAGAACCATTCGTTTGTACCTGGGGTAATTAAAGCGAATGGTTTTTTTTCCTCATTATGGATACAGCCAGTATATGTGATCAGACAAATCCTGAAAAAAATGTTGCGCCATATTTGAGAATTATAGATTCCATGACGTCATCTGTATCCAATAACATATCAATTTATTGAAATCTATCTTGCTTCCGCGCAGTGACGTCGTGATCAATAAAACTACACGACTCAACGCAACAAGCTAATTAAGTTGCGCCATATTGTTCTACAGTGGTATACTTTTTCAATTGTGTGGAGTGAGCTGGAAAAGATTACATTTTTTATTGGCAATAATTTTAAAACTTTGTTGAATTTTTACTGTTACGTTGTCAATGGTCTCAAGTGAGATGAACTACATCTAAGATAAGGCGGCCATTTGTTTCAATTGGGCATTAAAATGTTCACTCGCAAGTAACTACCAACTCCATAACAAAGTAGTGTCACTCGTCTTGACAAGATGCTCTGTGGAATAAGGTTATTAAACTCAAAGTTTATCGCTTCTCCAACATACGTATTAATGTTTGCAACAATGATTTTAACTGTTATTAGTTTGGAAAGAATGGTAACACGGAAGATAACTTGCGAAATTCAGTTTTTTATTGAAACGTTTCATAAAACTTTTTATTTTATTAAACTCTCACACAACCAATCAGTCAGTGATTTTGTATTCTAACAAGTTACATTTAATGTAATGTCTGTCCAATTAAATCACTTATTCGATATAATATATGTGCATATTTCAACAAAAAAAAACAAATGACTATCTCTTCAAGTTCTATTTTGGCACAGAGCGGTCTGTGATGGGTTGAAAGTTATACCGTCTCGGCTAGCGTTGTTTTTGCGTAGATTGATAATAATGTGTTCCGTCACTCCCTTTCGCGCTTTCGTAAAATTAAATAAATATAGTAAAATACGAGATAGCTTTCTCTTGGAAAATATGCATAGCTGATAAAAATTTGCCCATTTTTGTAAATTGCGCATTCTTTTGGAATTCTAGATTATTATTCTGATTGTTTGCAACAGTTCTTCGTTCTTCGTAGCATGCTCAGATAAATTATTCAAGATCACGGCGATTTTATCGAGGAAAAAATTATCTGTAATTGTGGTATTTCTAGTAAAATTAAATTTTACCGGATTGGCTAATTTCACAGTCCTCTTTGAAATAAGCGATATCGACAACATTTCAGTCTTGTTGAAAAAGAAAATAACTGTTGATCACCCGCCATTTGTCAGACTATGACAGGAAAATCACGATCTTTCAAATGTCCAAATCTCTGTCTGAGATTGGATTTGATATATACACGCTTCTCCATATGTAGATGTTTGTTGAATCGCGTGTTATTGAGCACGTGTACAAGTACTTTTTATAAACAAGTATATAACACTGTATTTGATGAATGCCGCCTGCATACAGGCGTAAACATATGCATTTTTAAAAATACGAATCTAGTAATCGCTTCGTTACATTTATAATTTCGTTCACAGAATGGCGATAGTTTATTCGAAAAAACCGGCTAGAAAGTGCAATATATCTCATAGGACATTTATATTGTGCAACTTTTGGTGCTTCAATCTAAGCCTAGTGGAATTTCTGCCAATTCATGTAAATTCCCTGAATCGAACGTGACTCCATTGTGTAATATACACCACAATGTCATATATCTAAGCAAAAATTATTGAAAATATTTGAAACATTTCACGGCGGTATAATAATTTTTTCTATGTACACGTTAAATTCGTTTCAAGGATGTCTGAGAAAGAGCAGTTGTATTCGATGGTTCCAAAAGTTGTAAATTTATTATTCTAGGAGGTCCACAGAGATTATTATAACTCCGGCAGCTTAGGATGGATGTCACCAGATTATTTTGTATGACTAGATCAGATCTTTTTATACCTTTACGTCAATTAAACTGAAAATATACGCAGTACGTGTGAACACAAATAGAAAGACGTAAAGCTACCCAAAATATAACTATTTCTAGAGTGCCGTGTATTTCATTTAATAAAGAAACACAAAGTAATGCTGTTTCAAAACAGTGCGCCGAATAAAAATAAATAACATATGTTTTGTTCATCAGAGGGAAACGACCTAAGTATTATTCGCCAAGTAAGTTACATAGATATATCAATGCATAATGCTACATGACGTAATGCACCTCTAAGGAATGTAGGGGAAATATAAACCATTATACGTAGATACCACATGTTCGTGTTACAAAAATTTCCGAAGGAAACTTTTCTATGAGCTATGTACCATATGCAAAAGACAATGTGAATTCTAGAAAACCTTCATTCTAAATAAATTATTTCAACAACACCCATCCAAACAAATTTCTCCCTTCCAACAGCCTTCGGTTAGTATTTCCATTTTTTTTTAGATATCAGCTTTGAAAAACACGAAAATGAAGAAATCGCTTTTAATTATGAAGACAGTGAAGCCGAAACAGAAACCAGTTCGAGTCTCTCACTCAAAACTGGAAATGATTTTGCAAAACTATGGAATGACGCGGGTGTACAACAGTGCTTTGCGTGAGTGGAATAATATACAAATTATATTTCAGGCTTTCAAGGTCATTGTTTTGACAGGAAAAAGAATGATCGAAATACATATTTGAAATTAATTGACAATGTTATTTACTTATTTAGTTATTATTCTGTCCTATACCATAGAGCAGGTGGGTGGTGGCATAAACTTCATATACGAACGTCGTATTTAAGAGTTTCATTACTATAAAATATTAATAAATTTTCGCGCTTTCATCGTATTATGCGAAACCATTATACAATATTCTCAACTCCAATGATGCTTTATTTCTACATGACACATTGAGAAATCCCCCTTTTAGATATTTAAATACAACTAAGCGGATGAACATAATATTTCGCTTGAATTGTTCTTGATGGCTTAATATGAACGACAATGTGTAATATGATATAGCTATTCAAGCTGACTTTACGTCATTCATGGCAAATTCCAGTTACTTTGATAGATTTTATCAGTAATTGAGGTTCCAGCACAAAACTTCCAACATCCCGTTTCACGTAGTTCTGTAGGAACTATTCAATTAACGGTAAAATACCATTGAATACGAGCCCATCATAAACATTTTCTATAATGTATGTCAATACTGCCTATACTGTGGGATATATTTGATGACTAAGCGCACGATTGCTCATCCATATGGTGACAAATTTAGTTGTTCGATATATGTGGTATGGTTAGTAACTCATATCCTAATGATTTGGTTTTTCAATTTATTTTTAGTGAAGCAAAACTATCTTTACACTCATGAAATTCCATGATATATGAGCTTAAGTCACGGAAAGTTCCCCCAGCTTTCCCTTTTATCATAAAGTATGCCTCATTACTTGGGCAAGATGATGTGATCAAAATGATGTTTGTATAGTAATTCGGAAAGTCATTGGAGTACAATTACGACATGATACCCACGCATATCTGTGCAAAAATCTTCAAGTTTCAATGTATTTTAATTTGGGCGCATATTACTACTACAATCATCCGCTTGAGTTTTCTATTTTTTTCATTTCAGAAGACGAGATGAATTTCAACTTTCCGATTCTACCGCATATTTTATGAATAATCTAGAACGGATATCAGAAAAGGGCTACATCCCGTCGTTACAGGTATGGGGCCATCTGTTGTGTCTAATGGTAAATTTGTATCGTTTTTGGTCATTGTAATAGTAAAATTGCTATATCATATTCTGGTTATATTACACATTTAGCTGCAACATATATAATGCTTCTATTACATAGTTCGCTATTCGATAAAATTTACATTTTCGAATTAGTTACCAACGTTGCTTTTTGAAGCTTCCAAAATCCTCTGTGAATAACTGCAATTGAACCGTGAAAGATTTTGTGAATTCAAACACAAAACGAATGAGATACAAATTGTCTTTGATAAAGCTTCAAACATTTTGGAACTTGTTATATCAAAACATCTGAAAAATTGAATGACTAAATTGCATTATCTGCGCAACAAAGATGGCGATTTCCTAATCTTAATCTCTAATTCTTTTGTTAAATTTTAACGTTAGGGAGATGAATGCGTCCTCTAAAATTCATTGTACTGCCACCTGGTATTGCTGTTCAAAAAATACCAATCATTGGTGACTAACGTGGTCCTCGATTATTAGGTTTTTCGATTTAATTACCAATACTGATTCATCGTTTCTCAAAAATAATGAATCATTCAAAATATATTTTGTGCGCGCGTAGGCAATACAAACTGAAAACGCAAACATGCAAAATATTTCCTTTTATCAGCACACGAAATCGCTAAATTGAATTACAGGCGCTCAAATTACGCGGTAAAGAAATATTTACTCACTTACATATGTGCCATGCGCCAGAATAAAATCAGATCTTTTTCCTTATTTTAACTTGAGGTTCAAAACCTTTAATATCGATGAATAGCATTTCCCTGCAATCGCTGGTTTAGTCCAATTGAAATTAGTTCCAATTATGCTTTGTTCCAAATGATTTAATTTGTGTGGCTTTTGTGATACTTTGAGTGCCTATAAAATCAACTACGCATATTCACATTTTGGTGTTATCCATATTACCATAAATCGCTCAAATTACTTTACATGCAGAGAGAAGACCAATTTATCCCAACAAGTCGCGCTGGTTCATCCACATGCAAACTCAGAAAAATGCTTCCAAAGTTGTATTTTATACACATAAATTATAGGGGGTTTATTTAGCCGCGAAAGCAGCAGCTGTAAATTTTTACGATCAGGCACGAGGTATCAACACTCGTTTCCGTGTATTCATTCAGTGGCCGTGATTTGCGTTGTGAATGATGGGAGGAATTTATCTTTCACTTTATAATTAAATTCTACCAAAACCTGGAGTAATACGTCTACTACAGTTCTAATGGTTGATCGTGCGTGGAAATTGTCGAGCGTACTAAAAAAATTGTGCGACTTCTTAATGTAGCAAGGCAGTTCGAATAGCCAACACCCTTCAAAATATTGTGTTAGTATGTATAAACCTTGAATGTCACGTTAAAGCAAAATATCGAATTCAAATTTTGTGGAACATCTATCAATTTTCTTTGTTCTCGCCGCAAAATTACAATTCTTGTCAAAATGTATTCATTCGCTGACGTCATTACCCCGCCAATAAGTATGCCCTAAAGCTATCAAAAGAATGAATTAAGTTCAATAAGTTTTATATCTAATTTCTGTAACGAGTTATCGCGTGCCCGCCGTAAAAACCCCAACGTCGGCCGATTGGATAGTAAACAAGAAAAACAATACAGATCAGTATGAAATACGCAGTGTTGTACCGAAATGAATATATTGTCAATAATTATGATATCAAACTTGATACTTTCATCACGTTGAATGTGTAGCAATATCAGAAATAACCATCTTTTACATTTCAACATGTAAAGAAAGAATGGTGAATACTTGAGTGCTAGTACTGTGCTATAAAAGAATGTGTATAGTAATGTATATAACAAATAATATCCAAAAGTTATTAAAAGTTTATGTTTAAATCTTCGGTCATGGAATAATTTGAATCAATATAATTATGGAATGTAGCTTAGAAAACAAATGAAACGCTTAGGTCAGCAATCTTCATTGATGCTTTCTCGAAATAGAATGCAATTTACATAAAAAGTATACTTGACAGTCATTTCCCAGTTTTAATCTTGCTTGACATGGTGACTATGTGGTCCATGCGTTTGGTCAATACGATGGCTAGAACTTTGGTGATACAGAATTGAACATATATTTCATGATAATGATGCAGTCAGTATATACTCAGCAGGCTCAATCAGTCTAAACTTTACGCAAAAGCTGAGTGTGGTGAGGCCGTTTTTCGCTCATTTTTATTCAAAAATTTGTTGGCAATTGAAGTTCACCAAACAACTCGAAGCTTATAAGATGTTGATTTTTTGGTTTCAACTAAGCCAACCTCTAAAAGTGCCTATTCTTTTTGTTTTTGCATTGCTTATAATTTATATTTCCTCATCCTAGGATGTACTTCGCTCACGTATGCCGACATCTGGAATTCGTGAATATCAATTTGATATCGGTAACTTTGTTTTCGGTATTGTTGACGTCGGAGGACAAAAATCAGAACGCAGGAAATGGATTCATTGTTTCGAGAATGTTACTTCAATTATATTTCTTGCTGCACTAAGCGAGTAAGTATTCTTTATCATAAATGTCACTAAGTAGCGCCCATACGACATAGTAATAAACATGGGTTTAGGGCAGGGTTTGTCAAATTTGAATAGAGATCGAGAGACATCTAGAAAATACATTTTATAAAAATAAAGCAGTGATAGATCTCTCGAATAGAATATGGATTTTATTTCCCCATTGCATTGCGTCTCAGAACATTCTATTCGAATATTCTCTGCGCCATTGAACCCTCTGCACTCAGCATCAACTTTTCTGCGGTTGCCAATTGTCTAATTATAATTAAATTGTAGGTTCGTTAAACGAGTAGCTGTTCACCAAATTGTTAAGTTATATTATAATCTAAATATACATGTCTCACAAGAAATTCCGTTACCTTAAGAATATAATCAACTCCTCGAGCGTTGATTATAAAATTAATTCATCGTCAAAACCGCTATTTTGTCGGTATAATTCAGTGAAGCGTCTAAGGCCGGGCTGTAGGTTGCCGACCTCTGGTTTGGGGTTACCCGACTAACATAACTTTAAACCACAATATTGCAAGTCTTCAAGAATAATATTCGGAGTCGATGCTTGTCTGGCGTTTCCATGTCGAGGGGGATGTCCGAACGTGGTATTTTACCGTCCGGTCCCAGTTCCTTGGTCAGCATGTCCATGAATAGTTTTCAGTTCGTTTTCCTATTTATTTTAGATACAACATGACTATTCCACTGGAAGAGGTTAGTCAAGATTTACGTGCTAGTTTACGTCACAACCAACGTCGACAAGCAATGCGGGCGAAAACAACATTGAATAAAGCAGCAAGTAGTACCGGATTCGGATTTACTAACGGTCTCGCTGGACTCGATATGGCAAACGGAGGGCACCACGGATCGTCACAACATCGGAAAATAAAATCAAGGCCATCGAACAGAAAACACTTTTCTCCAACCGATTTTCCTCGAACGGCTCTTAGGTCGACGCCGTCATCTTTGGAAGAATCTCCTGACCAGAATGGAAATACGAGGAAAAAATCTGACGACTCCTCTAGATCTGCCGAACCTTCCTTTGCACCTTCTCACATCAATCGAATGAAAGAAAGTCGTGCACTCTTCAAAACAATAATTTCGTGCGAATATTTCACTAATACATCAGTGATACTATTTCTAAACAAAAAAGACATTCTCGCAGAAAAGATCGCAACATCACACATTTCAGACCACTTTCCTGAATTTGAAGGCCCCAAATGCGACGCTGAGGCGGCAAGAAACTTTATTTTGACAAAATATGCCGATTGTTTTGAAAGAAGGCGCACGCCAAAGCGGGACTTGTATGCACATTTCACGTGTGCCACAGACACCAGAAATATTAAATACGTTTTCGCAGCGGTGAAAGACATTATTCTTAAAAATTATTTGATTACATATAACCTGGTATAAGATAAATGCAACATTTTGTTTAACAAGTAATTCTGTTTGAAAAAAGACCCTGCGAAAAATACCTCATTTATAGTATTTTAACAAGTTTGGAAATTTTTGCTTATTATAAACAAGCATAAAACACTGCCAGAGTCGAACTTCAAAAACTAAATATTAACTTGAAATGAAATGTAGACGATAAAATCAAACAGCTTGGCATGATAATACATTCCAATTACTTGTTTTCTATCTTTTTAAATCAGCTTCCGGTTTTGATAGTGTTATGGCATATATATATATATATACCCTGTAATGCTTAATAAAGCGCGCTTGAGAGAAGGCTGTGAAGTACTTGCCCGTGCCAAACAAACATATTGTAAATGTAATATTTTTTTCGCGAAACGTCAGTGATCAGACCCATGTTCCTCCTATATTATCATTACAGTATTAGCTTATTTTCAAATATTGATTTGAAAAATTTCGATGTGTCACATGCGTTGTGTTCGTAAAATATGAACAGCACAGATATATATATATATATATATATATATTGCGTGTTTTTTAAAAGGGTTTTATTTATCAAACGTGAAACCAACACAAACTAAATGTTGGCGTGGTTCACACGAATTTTAAACCAAACACTGTTTTTCGTTTTAAAAAATCCCCGACTGTATTTGTCAACTTTGACTTTCACTTTTGCACCTATTTTTATTCTTTATAATGCGATGTGGCTAAAAGAGGGTTGATGTTAAAGATATTGAAATTCTTTTTTTTTCAAACTGAAGTTGCAATTTGGGACCTGCATTCGCACTGCGTCAAATCACTGCGTTGTCTACGATAGGATCCGCTCGATTTGAATCATCGATTTGAAGTATTACATTGTGGACCTTGCATTTAAGCAAAAATATTGGTATTTAATCCAGATCATAATAATCGCTGATTTGTTTGCTGATTTCCCTTTTTATAGCGAAATCCTAATCTAGATTATTGTTTATTGCGCTCATTTAATTTCAAATGATAGTGTGAATGGGGTACATGCCGAATTCGCGTCCTTCAAGAATTCTATTGTTCAGCGTATATTTCATATTACAATTTAAAAATTAATGAGATTATGCTGTCTCACCGGCAACTGATCAGACTCCCGATTGGCAGTGAACTTGTATGTTCTCAAGCGTGTTTGTTTTGACGCGAGTACTTTTCGTTATACATCCAAAATTAATCATATTGTACAGTATCGTTACACCAAGTACTTTCCCGATGCATTCCGATATTTCAGTTCCCCCAGACTGTTCAAACCAGATGCTATACATAAACTTTTTAACTTGAAGCTGGCATGCTGTTCTCTCCAGTATACTGTAAGAAAATATCAAAACCTATAACGATTTATTTTTCGTTTAGTGTTGTTTTCGTGCTTATTATTTTGTTTTGAAATATAATTATTATTAATGTTTGTTGTGATATGATTATGCTTTTTAACGGAAATTGCCATACTTTGTTTTCATGTTTTCGATGATGCAATAAAATTGTTGCTTTATCATGTGTCGCATCTTATGTAAATAAAGCAAGACGAAAGCATCTTCGAGTATGGGACATTTATGAAAATCTGTCATTCACGAGATACTATCCAGATGATGTCATTTACAAAATTCCTTATTCCACCGTATAGAGATTTTAGGATACGCCCAAAAAACTCGCAGTTAAAAACAATATTTTTCAATATTTAGGTGGTGGGTATTGGGTGTGTTTCCTAATTGGATTGCAATTTGATAACAATTTTAAAGTAGAATAGCAATTGTTTTTGCCTATATGCTGTGATACAATAGCCCGTTCTAGACTGAAGATTGGCACTGTCACTTCCCCGTGACCAGATTGGCTCCCCTATAGACTTTGGAGAAACACTGATTTACGGGGTGAAATTCTCTTCGAGCTCTTCAAAATCTGCGAGAGTTCCCGGCGTATTTTGGGTTCATGGAGTTTCTCTAGAATAACACTTATTCATAAGGACCTGAAGGGCAATATGAATGACGGGAACTCCTGCAGACCCATTGCAATCTGCCACACGCTGTATAAAATCTATACAGCCATGATTGCACGCCGTCTCCAGTCTTGGGCAGTTAGGGGAAAAGTGATTTCCCCAGAACAAAAAGGCTTCGTTCTTGCCGAATTCGTCTTCGAGCATGTTTTCATGCTTGATTTGATCATTGCGGATGCCAAGAAACATAACCGTAATTTTATGTGGCGTGGCTTGACATCCGTAATGCTTTCGGGTCCGCAAGGCATGGTGCCAGTCTCAAGTCCCGAAATTTTAGGTGCACCGGGGTACATGTTGGAAACGGTTGCTGACGTTTACAGGAATAACGCGTTCACCATTCGACCTATCGATGGTGACAAGTTCCCTATTCCATCTGGTAGAGGAGTCCGACAAGGATGCCCTGTCTCGGCAATAATTTTTAACATGGTGATGGAAATTCTCCTCTGGGGTGTCAAAGGTTTGCCGGACGTCGGCTACCAAGTACAATGTGCGCCGGATGTGACCATCAAAGGCCCGGGATACGCAGACAATTCTGCTCTGTGTGCGTTGTCACAACAACAGCTGGAAGTGCAACTCTCAATATGTTGGTTAATTTGGGAGGCACGACGGTCTTGAATAGTGAGCCTTTCCATCTCAATGGTGGCGAGGTTGCTGTTCTCAACCGGGATGACTTCTGGAGGTATTTCGGCAAGATCATGGTGTACCGGATCGTCGGACAGAATGAGTTGTTAAACCAAATTTTAGTTTACATTCGGAGGCTCACTCCTTTCTGAAAGCTGGCTCACTCCGTTTCAAAAGCTATTGGCGCTGTAGAGGTTTGTTCTACCAAGTTTGTTCCTACTACGGATTCGGTAATTTCGTCGGCGCGATTTCGAGCGGCTAGATGCCAGCATTCGTCTTTGATAAGAAGCGTTTACCGATTACCAGACTAGACCTGTCAGCCGTTTTTCCACTCCGCGGCTGCGTCAGGGGTTCCGGGCGTCTCGAATGTTGCGCGTGAACTGACATAATATTTCAGGTTACCCAGAGGTAAAAAAAAAACTTGAATTCCCCCGACCACATGATCCGTTCGGTTGCTCGTGCTCGGCTGGGCGAGATTGTGGCAAAGTTTTACCTAGCCCAGGGGCGACCTAGGCTCTGAAAATTGGCTTTCTCAATCGTGAAAACTCCTCCGAGCCAAATGAGCGACACATCGACCCGTGTGGGGATCTTTGGGGCTTATGAGTCGCCGTATCAGCCTTTACTGGGGTATCTCTTCGAGAGGGGAATTTCACGATAACCACTAACAGTCTCCTGGTCGAGAGAGCCAAGAAGATAACTTGGGTGCTGCACTATGTGTCCAACACCTGTTGGTTGAGTCGGTGGGGAGATCTGCGCAACCGAAGAAAGACAGTTTCCGGTCATTTTCGGATCAGTTGGTCAAACCACTTTTGCTTCTCTCACTCAGTTCGAGATTTCGTGGGCTCTAAAAGATCAATTAAATCTTCTGCCGCTGCGATCCGTTCGCAGGCGGTTTTCGGTATATGCGGAAGCACGGGTGACTTGTATTAAATGTGGTTAGGCAGGCGAGACTCTTCTCCATGTGCTGAATCACTGCCGTCCGGTGATGAATATCATCAAGAGGCGGCATGATTGGGGACAGGAGGAGATCTTGGCTCACCTACCTTCAGCCATGTTTTCTAGACGCGATGTCGACGTGGTTTGTCGAGAGCACATCGCCAGAACAGCTGAGATGCTGCGGCCCGATTTAATTTCCGAGGAAATCGGTACGTCTCGGGTCGCAGTACTCGATGTAGTGTGCCCATTCAACAACGTTGAGGTTGCCATGGATGATGCGGCCCGTCGGAAGCACTCATAGTATGAAGAGTTATGTCGCTCCATTGCTCTTGCCACTGGCAAGATGGTGGAGTTCCACGCATTTGTGATTGATTCCCTTGGCAGTTATGATATGGGGAACCAGACTGCTCTTTGGCGTCTTGGGTGCGTCCGGGGGTGTGGCTACGGCGGTCTCCCGTAACTACGATAGGAACTCCATCCGGGATTCCCATCACGTCTGGAGGGCCTGGTGTGGACTTCTTAGCAGTGTCGGTTAATCTGACTTCAACCACTTTCTCACACTGTATTCTTCTCTGTCTTATTCTCTCCATCCTTCTTGAATGTATCGGTGTGTTTGCGAGCTTGCGTGTGTGCTTTGTAATTAAATTGGTCGTATTGGTTGATTCTCACTAGTGGTTTCCTTGGGTCGTTTGAGCCCTTCGCTCATTAAATTAGTTTGTCGAATTTTTCCACTTACGCTAATTATAATTCATAACTCATCGCCGAGTTTGCCAGCCCCTCGCAACAATTTTATATTCAGTATTTTGGCATATGATTTTCTTTCCAATAATTTTTGAGAGGCTGGCTCAGTTAGATAAGACGTATTTTTTCTTTAAATTGACTTGTTATTCTTTAAAATGTTCAATTCAATTGATTATTTAAGTTAAATCCGTTTTGCCCACCTGCGCGGGGTAGGTCAAAGTTACTAGCGAATGTACCATGGATAATTCAATAAAAGTACATAAAAACAAATTTTGGTATAATCGGACTTTTAATGTGGCCTGCACGATACCGGATATGTGCATATTTGGCCTAGTAGCCTACATAAAGGTTGCCGACCACTTGCTTAGAAGACCAAATAGTCTAGTTAAGATACGTCCATTGTTCATGTGACCGTATAAACTCTAGTCCAGTGGTTCTTAAACTGGGGGGCGCGAAATGCTTTCAGGGGGGCGCGAGAGGTCACGTCAAGATGGAATCGAAAATTTCCATGCAACGTCTTCTGAAACAGTCTTCGGTTCCATAAAAATGCCTGCTTTTTCACGGAATAATACCCCTTTTTTTGTCCTCCAATATTCAATCTATGACAACTACTAGAATTCGAAATATCTCTCTATTTTACTTCATTTGTGTTCAAGGTAGCTCGCCGACAATATTTAGTTTTGATATATATTGTGCTCATGCAAATTCGTTATTGTCGTTAGAAAGATCTGGTATAAAATCTCAGAAAGTATATATATTCAATTTAGTACAATGAAAATACACATAAAGTATATTGGTAAATCAGAAATACATATTCATTGGCCCATAACACCCGCGGTACGGCTCCTGGGTCAGTTGTTGAGATTACACCACTCGTTAAAATAGCCGTCTTTTTTCAACGGATATGTATTGGTTTTCCTGCTGAATAAAACATTTAATCCATGATAGATATAAATATTTTAAAAGATTGCTGTATCCACACTACAGGTGTGCCACGGGAACAAGGAATATACGAGATTTGCGATGTCTAAAAAAGTGTTTTCGAACTGTCGAGTTCCATCCCATAACAAAACCCGTTGGTGTTTTCCGTTTTAGTTTTAGTATTTTATAATGCCGCTTTTTCCATCAAGAAATTTTTGGTTGCGGATTCACATCTTTCTTCTATCTTTAGAATCTCGTCACTGATATGATTATATAATAAAAACTAACTCGTTTTTCCCACAGGTGTCAATGTCATGGTTCCATGCGAGAACGCAAAAAGTAATTATCGTGTCTTCGCGACACAAAATACTTGTTGAGATAAATGAGGGCGAAAACAATCGGGAATATAAACAAAATGCAATCGCAAACGTCATTAGGGACTTCATTTTTCAGCGTTCAAGTGCCGGGACAAGTCCACCTGCATAATTACTATTAACAATTGAACGGCTTTTTTATGCTACAAATCTACATAAATTCATTTGCACTTCTCCATTGTGTAAACTGTATTTTGACCTGGTGGTTGTCCAAAAGTATTGGTAGTGAATTTTAGAGACGTTAGGCAAGCCAAGAAGTCTGTAATTGTTGTGTATTTTTAATACACAGTAACACGTTAACTTAACACATAGGTGGGATAAATCAGGAACCAAACAGTTGGAACTGAACAATGTTTTTAATAAAACGGGCAATGTTTTAACAATCGGAAACAGTTAGGAATATTAACAAGACATACCAAAATCACTGCCAGGATTTTGAAAAAACAATATTATTATTGACATCCAATAAGAGGATTTAAGAAACATCCTAAAAATAAAAAAATAAACATAAACGAAATTCTTATAAGTAATGCAAGAGTCTTGCTGTACACGAACATCAATAGATTTCTGTAACGTTTTTTCTGATTAAGGTCAACATTGTCGCCCCATCAACGCAAAAGCACAGGAGTATCTTTACAACGATATGAAAATTCAAATGAAAAATTTAGAAAGAATCTATCATTCGTCCTTACAGGAATTGAAGAAATTTGCACCCTTATTTCAGTGGGAAAAAAATATATATATATATATATATAACAGCCTTTTTACCAGCTTATCCACATTCTGTACCCTTTGTCATAATTGGTGTATGTCCGTATCATCCCCTTCACGTGTGTATGCACTGTACACCAAAACGTCATACTTTTATTACGAGCTGCACTGATCTAAGAAAATTATTTCGATTCAGTTGAA